CCCCACCCCCGGTCTGTCGTCGCAGCCGCAGACAGCTGTTGCATTTGGCGGAGGAGCTGTTGTCACACCAGTGATAAGGACATCTCAGTCTGAGAGCTGTGAGTGCCCATGAAGTTCGGTCGTGGCGGACGTGCCTGGTTGTGTCCAAGGAAGGCATGGGCCAGCTCCCCAGGCGTAGGCGAGCAGCCCTGGCCTCATCCTGCTCAACCACCCGCTCAGCTAAACTGCAGGGGCCGAGGGAGGCAGGGGAGACTGAGGCTCAGACCCCCGAGCGAGGCTCAGCCTTTCCTGAAAAGGATTGCCACTCTGCCTACCTCCGCCCCTGGGCCAGGCATGGGGACGCAGCCGAGCTGGCAGCCCCTGGCGTGTGTAGCCCAGTGACGGAGAACGGGATTCCTTGGCACGAGCCGGGGAGCAGCCGTCAGCATCGCATGGAAAGATGGAGGCCGGGGCGGCGCGAGGGAGGTGTTACTGCTGCTATTTTGCTAACAAGCTGGTTATTTAAAGAACAGCCAAAGCCGGGAAATCGGATGGAGTCTCTGTGCCCAGGGCAGAAGCAGCCAGGGCTATGGAGTCCCCGGGGTGGCCAGACCTAGGAGCTGGCTGGATCCGAGCAGGGTGGCCACATGTTGGCTTATTTTTTCATTGACTTATTAACCATAGTAACAGCTCATCAAAGTCTGGATGGCAGTTCGCTCTGTGGAGAAAGAGGAGTGAGGAGCTCGAGGGGCGAGGGGCAAGGGCCCTGGGAGGGGCGACAGTGCTGCTCTGGCCCCGGGCACTGGGCCCACAGGCTCTGCTTTGTGAGAAATCATTGCACTCAACATTTTTGTTTCGGGCACTTTCCTCTCTGTATTATTGTCATAGTGGAAAGACTAAAAACAGCTACCATTCGTTGAGTCCTTATCAAACGCCAGGCTCCTTACCAAGTATTTTACTTTTCTCTCATTGACTCATTGTGGAGTCTCTCATTCTACCCATTTTACAGAGGAGGACAGTAAGGCCTTCAGAGGTGAGGCTACTTGGCATGTGGTCTCAGAGTCGGGGAGGTAGAAGGAGCAACCAGACATGCAGACACAGCCCCTGTGCAGGAATGGGGCCAAGAATTTGCCCCTGAAGGGCGAGGTTCCTCCGCTCGCTCCTCCAGTGTCTGTGCCTCTTAGATTTTCGAGGCTTGAGAGGCCAGACAGGTGTCAAGGTCATAGGCAGCTGAGGGGTCTGAGACTCTGACGAGGATCAGAGCAGAACATTCAGCCATCTAACAAGTGTTACAGAATAGGAATGGGACACCCCTAGCCCAGGGAACGGGCCAGGGCACACTCAGCTCTCACCGAAGTTTGGAAGAGAGGCCACCCACATGAGGCAGAGGCAGACCCAACCTCTTAACTCACTGGATGTGGGCCTGTCACATCCTGAGCACCTACTCTGTGTCGCCCCTTATCTTCTTTAAACCCTAGAATATCACCATGAGATTAGCCTTATTTGCCCCATTTTGCCAATAAGGGGACTGAGGTCTGCAGAGGAGAAACGACTGACCCAAGGCCACACGGCCCGTGAGTGGTGGAGCACTGTGCTGGCCCCTGTGCCCGGTGTCCTGTGTGTGCAGCGAGCATTGTTCACTGGGGGGCCCCTGGCAGAGCAGCCTCCTGGGCACAGAAGCTCCAAGCAGCATGTGACTGCAATCAAGTTCTAAGGCAGATCTGCCTGTCCCTGAACTGCCACTGGGGACATGGCATGGAGGGTGGCATGACCCACGGCTTCTGCAAGCCCTGAAGAGGTCGGCCTGCTCTGCTGATGGGGCACCAGCCAGAGGCATTCATGCGTCCCAAGGACATCTCTTGAGACCTGTCCCTGCTCGTCTAAACCCCTTAGAGGACACAGCACGGGAGGGGCAGGTGTTATACAATCACCTGAATAAATAAACGGAATGAGAAGAGACTCCATCAGCTCAGGAAGGAAATTAGCAAGTCCAGTTCCCAAGATTGGCAGGTAGGGGCCCTGCTCTACATCACAGGGGACTGTCCAAGAAGGCCTCCCCAAGGAGGTGGCATCGGAGACCTGCGGGACAGCGCGGATCTGCGTGCTAGAGAGCGCTCATTGTGGCGTCGTTGTAGTAGGACAATCGGGAACAACCCATTTGCTCATCGCCAAGGGACTAGTTAAATCCATTTCACTGAAGCCAGACTGTGGCGCCTGCTGCAGCTGCTAGAAATGGGGCCGTGGATCTAAATTTATTGTTGCAGAAAGAACTTCATAGTGTGTTGTGGAGTTTAGAAAAAAAAAAGAGGTTATAAAACAGCATGGGGAGCATGATATCATTTTTGTAAGAACTGTGTGTGTTTCTGAAAATCGTTCTCAGTGTTCCTCCTGGGGGTGGAGACGAGGGTGATCTTTGTTGTCATCTTTATACTTTGGGGGATTTGGAGTCTTTCCTGAGTGTTAGAACTTGTGGGGAGGGACAGGAACATTTAGGGTCCCCACAGTTCTACCTGGGGCAGTTCTCCTCTCCTACGATTGACCCCAATAAAATAGGATAAGGTGTGCAGTTGTGGAATCAGTCAATCTGGGTCATACCTCATTTCCACCATGTTTTCGCTGTGTGACCTTGGACAAGTAACTTACTCTCTCTGAGGTTACATTTTCTCTTATGCAAAACAAAGATAAAAATAACATCTGAGGGTGGTTGTGGGGCTTATATGAGTCAGGACATGTATAGGGTGAGCACAGTGCCAGCGTAGCATTGCTGGTAGCTGCTGATATTCCCACAGTGGCTGCCAGAGGCAGCACCTACTATGTGCTCCTGATGTCCCACCAGGGCTCCCAAGACTCTCCTCTCCCCTCAGTCACTAAGAGTCCTATCTGGTTGGGAGACGAGGCCCAGGGAGGGAGCAGTGTGGCTCTGCACACATGGCCAGCTGGACCCCAGGCCAGCCAGAATCCCTGGAGGCCACCCAGCCCACTCACCTGCTCTGCCAGCGGGCCCTCGGCCAGGCTGCTCTTATGGGGGTGCCTGGCTCTGGAGTTGCCTTTTCTTTTTTTTAACCATCACGAAACCTACCTGGAAAAACTGCCTTCCGGACACTCAGAGAGTTTTAAATCTTGGGCAGAGAAACTTATGCTAATGTCAAACTCTTGGAATCATGGAGTCTTTAACATGAATAATCCAGCAAATGCAAACATGTGCATTTTACAAGTTCATTGCCCCTCTCTTGATGGTGATCAATTAGCAACTGTCCAATTACCTATCTGTGAGAGATGGTGAAATAAATTACGTCCAGCCAGACAATAGCATTCTCCACGGCTGTGGAGACGGTGCTGTGCGTCCATATTGTTGACATGGAAACAGGTCCATGGTGCATTGCTAAGCGGGGGAAATCGGAGGTTGAAAAACGGTGTGTATTGTATGATAACTGGCTTTGGAGTCTTTTCTGAGTTGTAGGACTTGGGAGGAGGCCCGGGATATCTATGCAGATATTTACTTTTTTCCATCATAGTGAAAAAATATACATGCCTGGGAGGACATCATCATTCAACTGTTATAGTGGTTTCCTCTGGAAAGGGAGAAATGGACAAACTATTTTTATTTTTGCTCACATAGTTCAAAATATTTCCAAATGCAAGTGACAGAAACTCATCCTAAACTGACTTAAACAAAAATGGAACTTACTGGCTAATAACTGTAAAGTCCAGAGCTTTATCTAGTGTCAGGCTCAGCTGGATCCAGGGGCTCAGACAGTGTCACCAGGACCTGATTTCTCTCACCATTCCCTCACCCTTCTTCCTCAGGGTGGTGCCTGTGTCTGGTAGAGCTCTCCTGTATGAA